CCGAATCAAAACATAAAAACTATGATCTCAATTCAATGTATAAAAAATGCAATTGAGAAATCCTCAAATTTGAATCAAACAACACCCTCATATGTATAATAATTACTCGGTATTTTATTTATGAAAGCAACCCCGTACTTTGAAAGAAAAAAACCATCCATAGATCATAACCAGAGTAAAATTAAACATGAAATAGATTCACGGAAACTATCAATAGGTCCGTGTCACTTCAGCGGATGACGTAGTGACATGACAAATAATATACAAATGGACGTAATTGAACATTTTTACAAATTTCGGGGATTTGTTTAATTTTGAAAAACTACGAGAATCTAATTGATTTTTTCGAGTTAAACTAAAATCAAATAGGCCATAGTTGAACTAAAAATTTAAAAAAACACCTAATTTAACAAAATTACTAGCATCTTACTAAAGAAAACCGTCTTTAAAAAAACAATCCATAATCGGAATAAAATACGTACGAACTAAATAAACCTTGTTTAGAAAACCAATAATGTCGACATTTGGAATTGCGGGGAATTCAATTAGCACCATACTTAGGGAGTTTGACTATTTGCATTTAGAGTGCACTTTAACTCAAGGAAAATTCTACGGTGCATCCCTAGATATAGCATGTACCCGTACACTCCCTTTTTTGACCAATCAGATGATAGCACAGTGCCACGTTGACGTCCTAATCGTCTTAGGTGAGGAAATTTAATATTTTGCCGTTTAGTCCTTGGAAAACGAGAAAGTTGAGAAAAAATATAACTGTCTGGTATCCATTTAACGAAGCCACTTTCCGTCCATACTTCTAATTCTTTCCGTCAATCAGCAATTCCCAAAGGGAGGTTAGAATTCTTTACGTAGTAACTACCAGCGAGGTTAGAATGGAGCATCTCCCAATCTTCCGATTTAAGAAGCGATCTAGAGAAGACAGATCTTTCTGGTGTATCTCCTGCAATTGATGCTCATCATACTGATTGCCAAAGCTGCCCTGTCGTGACTATCGTATATGAGCTAGACTGTACTTCTAAATTTATCATGGTCAAACCGACTCCACCATACGCTGAACATGGCTTATCACTGGCTGAACATAATTAGTACCAATGAAGTGCAACATCACAATGCTTTTCTAGAAGATACTAGCTTCGTACCTACTGTGATCAACAATAATGAGGTTGGTTTTTTGTCACTAAATCAGCTTTCTTGTTCTGTTGAACCTCAGATATGTCATAAAATTTGCTTTTTTGTGATTTTTTATGAATGTTTGAGACAAATGCTATAGTATTGAAAGTATTACAAGAAGTGTTCCAAAGAAGTAGTCAGATGAGTGTTTGAAAAGCATTCAAGACAAGTGCCCACCCCAAGTTCAAATAATCAGTCACCTTGTAAAACTTACTTTTATACCAAAGTGTGACCGAATATTTTTTTTTTGAAAGCAAAGTGTCGCTGAATATTAAAAAGCTATATTGGATTGAGATCAAAATATAGTTTGTATCGAAGTTTTTCATTCAACTTGGGTGATTTACAAGAGCTGGTGATTAATGAAGACTTTAATTTAAGATGGACGGGACATGTATGTTGATATGCTATGCCACAACTGTATGTATAAGTACACAATTATACACAACTGCTTCAGATATCAAATTTTGGTCTCTCATTGTCCCATCCACTTCATCATCTGAACTATGCTTCAGATTGCTCGTTTTTTTAATACTAAGTATGATTTATATTTATATTATATATATATATGTATATATATAGGGGTCAGTTCAAGTAAAAAGTAATCTTCCTATGAAAAGTGTGAATAAATCTTGACCTTTGATCACTTGAAAATAGATGGATGAGATGAACTTTAATCACAATAACCCGTTTCAATAAATGTGCAAATGTTTGTACTATAAAGGGGATAGTTTATTGATTAAAAGTGCACTCATGCGTGTAAAAAAAAGATTGTCAAAGCTAAGTTTGCCAACTTCTGCACTTTTTATTTTATACTGTATTGCACTTTTTTACTCTACGTGTGCACTTTTTAACTATTCTGATACACATTTGTCACAAAATTTTCAATAAAAGTTCTCCGTAATTACAAAAATGCCACCGCGTTTCAACCTTAAAATTTGATCTTTTCCATCCATTTTTTCACATCAATGGCCAAGATTAGTTCTTATTTTTCACCTATGAAGTACTTTTTATTTGAACCAACTTCTCTATATATATATATATATTATATATATATATATATATATATATATATATATATATATATATGCAATCAGTGTATTACATATATATATATATATATATATATATATATATATATATATATATATATATATATATATACGCAGAGTATATATGTAATACACTGATTGCATGGAGCTTTGACACTTAGTAGTCCTTTATTTGAACACAACACTAGGGTTAGCAAAGAGTAGTATAGCTAAACCAAAAGCAGTGGTCTAGAAAAAAGAAAAACTATCTACCTTTGGGTCATAGCATTGCACGTGTGTTTTTATTTCTCCTACTAAACAGAGCATTCTTTGGAATCTATTGATATGAAGTGGGATGTACTATTGACCTAAGACAGGTTAAGTTTGTGTTTAATTGTTTAAACCATTTTATGATTGTTGTGCTAAGAAGTTTGATGTGTGTTTGTTTTTTGTGGCAAGTATTTCATCAAATATTGATTATATATTATCTTCTGTCATCCTGCTGTCTACAAAATTTTAATGGTATGGAGCAAGCAAGAGTTGCTGGGATAGAACAATGCAATGTGATAGAAGATATGTGTGATAGATACGGGAAGTTTGATGACTTGTTTGCAGGATTGGATGAGAGCACGCATGATGAATATCTCTGGAAGTTGGGCAGCAGCAGCATTTGTTGAGCATCCTACAAACACCACAATGCCTCTGCAGGATGGTACTGCGTGTGGGCTGGATCTCTCTGATATTTCTTTTGATACGTGTAATAGCCTATTAGGAGGCTTGAATGGCTGTGAAGAAGAGAGCATTTGTTTCCCTGGATTTTGTGCCCCAACTGGTGGTGGGTATCCTCATAATAATTTCTCAGCACCGGAGGGAACCAGTAATCATAGTCTGCCAAGTCCTAAGACCCCCCTGATGAATGCTAACTATATGGAGCTAGATGATCTGATGAAGCCATTGTTCATGTCACAAATTATGATGATACTACTCAGAGTAAAATGCTCACAGATTATTTTCCGTCATACAACTCTTTCATTGAGGAAAGCAACTTTCCTGGCTGCAGCTTTCCTTCATATAGCTTCAGTCCAAAACAGTGATCTCCCTAAAGAGGAATATATATACATCTAAAAGGCGTCAGTTAACAGAGTGTTAGACTGCTGAGAAGGCCTTAAAATGCAGCTCACTGCACATACCCTCATTAAAAATTTCTGGATGTGTAGAACCAAGGCACATTAAGCCAGATGTGAGTCAACCTTACATTTGTAGTTTCATGTGAGGGAAGATGCTGTTTGTAATTGAATTCTAAAAGATCCAATCACCGAGGAAATTAATTCTTAATTAACATGCCCAAGTTCTTCTTCTACTCATACTTCCATGTTGGCAACTTATAAGGCCACTCAAAACACTAAAGGAAGACAGGGGAGGCAGTGTGCATAAACATAATAAATAGCCCATTTCAAGTGGCTACTTAAAAAGAAAATAAAGAAGCAGACAATACATTTTAATTATTAAAGTGTTCACATAAACACATACATAAGCTTCATACATAGAAATTAAAAAATTAGAATTAAGGATTGGATACATAAACAACACAAAAACTAACAACACAGAAATTAAACAACATAAATAGAAGAATAAGCACTAACTGGTGTGAAAAATGCCAATTCTGGGAGTTCAACTTGAATGGATAAACTTATCTAGAAGAAGAAGAAGCTGAGAATCTTGAAAAATGCCAAACCAGGGAGGAATCCTGTCACTTATGTTTTCAATGAATATGGACCAAAGCTAAAAGTGCTAGATTTGAAGACTCAATATCAAAGATGGTATAAATGGAAAGCTAAAAGATGGTGGATTTCAAAGCTAAAATTTATAAAAAAATAAGGAGATAAATGATACTCTCACCTTTCACGTATTTTTATAACACTGTTTTCAAAGCTAATCCAGGTTTCTTATCATTCTTACTTTTGAATTAAAATGAAGCAAATTTAAGAAGGTTTCTACTTTCAACATTGTGCTACTTCCGGTCTTAATGTCAATGCTTAACGTCTACAACTCAGATTAATGCAAGAAATACAACTATAATTCAGTAAAATACTGAAACCAATATCAATAAAGGCAATTCTCGAAATCCCGGACTATATAGTATACACTAACAAATTCTACAATGCAACACTAGTATAACTAAATTCAAAGTTAGCCCTTGAGCCAATGTAGAAAGAACATAAAGTTAATGATAACTCAACTAAATCCAATCATAATCACGATATGAACATCAAAACAAGGCATAGTCTAAGAAATAAGGATTTCGAGATTGTTTCTTGCCTCTGCGTTCTCGCCGGAGATTGCCTCTTCGTTGGGCGGCGCAGCGTCTTCCATAATTGGGCTCCACATGTTATTTGCGCCACAGGTTCTTCTTCCTCAATTCGGCGAGTTTTTGCTTTCTGCGGTTTGTAACGGCAGCCGTTTGGTTACCGTCGGATGGACATTAACGGGAGATGGAGGAGGGATGGTATTACAATTGCAAATATTGAAATTATAGTGTGCTTGAGGTGTTAATACTAAAATTAGGTGACGTGGAATCCTCTCTTATCTGATTGGTTTAAAAAGTGATGTACCAAAACACTCACTTTTTTTTGTATGTACCGTAGAAGCCCCCCTAACTCAATCATAGTGTCGACATGATTCCTCCCCACACTGCACACGTGGCACTTCCCTTCTTCTGTTCAGACATTGCATGGCTTTTCATGTCGCCATGTTACCACACTACTCCCACCAAGTCATAAATTCCAAGCCGTCCTATATATTAACCCATTTCAGCCTTAGCTTTAGCCCACCCTGTAGAATTGAAGGAGAAGCAAATTAAGGTGTCATCTCCGATCATGAAGAAGTTTTCACCCATGTTCTTTTTCATTCTCTTAATGTCGTTTCCCGTCATGCTAGTCTCCGCCGCGGCCGGAGACTGCAGCGATGACTCCGCTTACGACGGACGGGACCGTGTCGAGGCCTTGAAGTTTAAGTTAATAGCGGCTTTTACCATTCTTTTAGCCGGGTTTCTCGGCGTCTCTGTCCCGAACATCGGGAAGAAATTCCCGATGTTCCACCCGGACAGCAACTTGTTCTTTCTCGTAAAGGCGTTTGCGGCCGGCGTGATCTTAGCCACCGGATTCATCCACGTGCTCCCAGACGCTTTCGAGACCCTCGGCAGTCCTTGCCTGCCGGAGAATCCCTGGAGCAGATTCCCCTTCCCTAGCTTCGTGGCGATGGTGGCCGCCATATTAACGATGATGGTGGACTTGTTCACGACGAGCTATTACAAGAAAGCCCAATTGGACAACAAGCCCAAGCCTGTTGACGAAGAAAGCCCGGCCCAGCCTCACGGGCAAGTGCCTATCCACACGCACGCGACCCATGGGCACGCCCACGGATCTGTGGTTTACCCGGTGGGCGGGTCTGATCTAACACGGCGGCGCGTCATCTCACTGGTATGTTTTAGGAATTTAAATCTGTGATGAGAAAATTATCAAAACTAGATCCGTACTTTATTTATCCATACAAAAATTATTAGTAGTTGACCCATACTTTATTAAAAGTGGTACCGGAATTTTCACCTATTAAAATATTCTCTCCGTCCCTTAAAACTTTGCCAACTTTTCTTTTTTAGATGTACCACTAACTTTGTCACTTTCTCTTTTTAGTAAAGAATTTTTGGTTCCAGTTAATTCTCTCCTCTGCACAAACCTCAACCACACCGTTTTTACTTTTTTAATCTCGGGTCAAACTTGACAAAATTTTAAGAGATGGAGTAGTATGATGTTAATGGAATCACTTAAAAAACGTTTTATTCTTTTTTATGGCAAAAGGTTATTGTGGACGCTCCGTATTAAACAGTTCTAGTCTTATTTTATAGGTTCTGGAGATTGGGATTATTGTTCACTCGGTAATTATTGGGATATCATTGGGTGCATCTGTTTCCGTTGATACAATTAAGCCTCTTGTAGTGGCGTTGACTTTTCATCAACTCTTTGAAGGCATGGGACTCGGTGGCTGTATTGCTGAGGTATCTTTCACGTCATATTAATCTCTTAGATTCTTATTCAAAAAAATAGCTCGACAGACTTAGAACCTGCTGATTTTTGGTAATACTGAAATCGCCTGAATTGGATGAATCGGCTGATTCTGTTGATTTATAGAAAAATTATATTTAAAATATACAGAGTATGTCATTAATAAATAAAGAAAAAATATATGAAAAATTGCTAGAATGGTCATTTAAAGTAACTTTCGTCGTACATTTTATTATTATTACACAATTCAGAGCGCGGAATAAAAAATTACACGTTTGATAAAAAGTTGATTGACAAGTCCAATAAGCAGAAAAACAGAGCCACCAAACAGAATCAACAGAATCTTATTAGTATGTTTTTAATAGGACTTATTTCAGTACCAACCTAGATTAAGTCAAATCAAATCAGACCCGGCCTCAATTATTGTAAGTTACAAAATATGATCAAACTCAAATAGATTAGAAATTTCAGTCCAAGCTAAGTTAAAACACTCTTTATTATTAGAGTTATTGCTCCCACCATATTTAAGAGATTATATTTTTAGAAACAATCTCGATTAAAAAAAGTTACTCTGTATAGTATTATTATTACTCCGTATTATTACTACTTTGAAAGCTATGCGAGAATAAGGTTTGGAGGTTCAAAACTACTATTTTTAAGTAAAATGATTGCATATACTTATAATAATTTATGTATGACTTTTACATTTTAGCAACACTTATGCTACACTCACAATAACTAACGTTAGTCATATTTATTCAAACGGCGCAGGCACAATACGCAGCACGTCCTACACTATTAATGGTAATATTCTTCTGCCTTACAACTCCTATAGGAATAGCAATTGGGTTTGGGATCTCACATGTCTACAACGAAAACAGCCCAACGGCCCTAATTGTGGAGGGCTTGTTAAACTCGGCCTCAGCTGGGATTCTGATTTACATGGCCCTTGTGGATCTCATTGCAACAGACTTCATGAGTGATAGGCTTCAACGCAATATAAAGCTACAAATTGGAGCTAATACCTCACTTCTGCTAGGAGCAGGCTTAATGTCACTCTTAGCTATTTGGGCATGATATATACCAGAAATTAAAAATCTTCTAGCTCTCTATGTGTTATAAGAATAAGTGTAATTATGAGATATCAAAAACTTACTTCTCGTTACAAAAAGAGTATTTTGGATAGAATTAGTTAGACTCTTTTTGTGGCGTTGGATATAATTAGCTTAGGCTAAGTCTTATGATGGGAGTAGTTGTGTGGAACCACCTCTTAGATTTGCTAATGCATTTTTAATTCTTTTTCTGATAGTACTCCGTATATATTATGTGTGCGCTTAAATGAACCCTAATGAATATTTGGTTTAAGACTTTATTTGAGTTTAATACTGGCTACTAATTTTGTTCATAATACTATGCATGTATTATGCATCAGACAATTTTGTTTATTTTCTTTTTCAAAAAACAATGAGCGTTTTAGTCTAGTATGAATGTTTCAATTAGACACTTCCGTACACTATACTAGAGACACCGGATTTAATTTTAAAACATTATATTCATTCATAAACATATTAATACTTAAATTTTGCATCTCAAATACGTTGGGATTGTTTGAAGAATTTGAGTATATTAAATGAATAATATATAGTTCACCTAAAGATGCGAAGTCTATTTGGATCTTAGATGTTTTATAGTTTGAAATAAACAATTGTGAGCGAAGTCTTTACATCACTTTTACTTTTTGTTATTCTCAGAAAAACCATCTTTTATTTGCACTATTAGCGTTGAGTTGTGGACGCAAAAGAGTCGACAGGATTTGTTGGACGTAAGTAACTCATTTGCGTCCACTTTGTATCACGGCCAACGCAATTGCCATATCTATTATTCGTGTCCACTTGTTGACGCAAAAAATTGATATATGAATATGTCAGATTTAGTCTTTTGTGTCGACTAGTCGACGCAAATACCAATCAATTTTAATATACCAAAATTTAATATCTGGTTGTACAATCACCTGTAATGACATTTTCAATCACAACAAACACTAGAAATATTACACCATACATAACACCGGCCAATTTATAAAAGCATTAAACAATATTGACTTCATACAATAGATGTTAACTTCACAGTAATTAATAAATTAAAGTTTACTACATGTTAACTTCAAAGTAATTAATAAAGTTTACTACAATATCATATCATCACGAGCTCAAATTGTCATCTGCTTCAGTCTCTCCATCTTGGTTAGCACTTGATGTTGAAGGAATGTCATTGTGTGGAGTAGGAGAAGGCAACTCAAATCCTGGAATGAAACGTCTCAGTGCACTGAGTATCAATTCTTGATTAGCCTCCAACTCACTGATTCTAACATCACGATGATCCTGAAATGCAGAAGTAGATCCATCTTCTATGCGACGGGATGCACCTTTCGATAGTGTAGGACCCACTCCACTTTGACGTCCCCGGTATTTTTTAGATTAAAAAGAGAAAATTTTCAGAAATTCATAAACAGGACTATCTAATTATCTATATTTATTTTGTTCTCAAAATACGACTCATTTACTCCTACACTCAGAAGTTTTAATCAACTTTCTATAGGACTAACTAAGCCCGATTTGGGGAGAAAAGCATACTTAATCCTACTTTTGCATTTTATGTGCGTTTTAGTCCTGTATTGAGCAATATCTAAATTTAAATTTGTATGTACTTTAAATTATGTGAAAGTTAATAAAATTAGACCCATACTTTATTATAATTAATACTCCCTCTGTTCCCCTAAAAGTTTATCAAGTTTAACCAGCAAATATATTACGGAGTGATAAAGTAATAATTGTGTAATTGAGATTTGTGTAGAGGAGAAATAAATGATAGGAATATAAATTGATTGATTAAAAAAGAAAGTGACATAGTTTTTTGGTCCATAAAAAAAAGATGACAAACACTAGTGAAAAAATAGCTTTCTATTTCGGTTAAAATCCATTTTTAGTTTCGGGTCTAGATCCGACATAGATCCAACCGACATTGAATTGCACTAATATCCATGTCTTAAAATTGCAATTAAACAACAAAAATGGAAAACTTTAACAGAATCATATCAATGGCATATTATGAGCCCGTTTGGTAGCATGAAAATCGGCTGCTTTGGCTGATTCTGCTGATATTTATGAAGTTCTGGCTGAAGTGAATGCATTGGTTGATTCTGCTGATTTAAGAAAAAATTATTTTTAAAATATATTTTATTAATAAAATAATGAAAAAATTATATGTAAAAATAGCTAAAATGGTCATCTACAGTAACTTCGGCCAATACAGCCAGAAAAGTAACCCCAACCTTACTTTTTCTGCTTATTACACAATTCGGCGCGCAAAAGAAAAAATTACATGTTTGGTGAAAAAGTTGGTTGATAAGTCGTCTGATAAGCTGAAAAAGAATGGTTCCAAATGGCCACTATAAATCATGCTAGGTAAAAATACAATATTCCCATTATCCATCCTATTCTACAAGTAGTATTCAACAATTATACATATCACTTGAAGACATGCTAAGAACATCAAAAGGAAATACTCCCTCTGTCCCAGAATTAACTTCGGTTTTGACTGGGCACGGTGATTAAGAAAGTGGGAAATGTGTGGTGGAGAGTTGTGCAGAGGAGAGAAAAATGTGTAAGAATGGTTGTGATCCACAAATCCTTTGCTAAAAAGGGAAAGAGGGGATAATTTTAGGACGGACCAAAAAGGAAAGAATGAAGATAATTATGGGACGGAGAGAGTACTATAAAATGTGTGTAGTGTCATTGAAGTTAATGCCGGCTGCTCTCACGTCTTGTCAACATCTTCACGTCAAGGGAATAAATTTTGAACGTTTAACACCTATAGACTAAATAGAAAAGGTAAGCACAAGTAAAATTGCATAATAGACAAAGTAGAAGCATTAGTAAAGCATGTAAAAGTGCATAATTAGAAAAAGGAGGAACATACATAGGGCATGTTAAACATTAGAAAAAGGAGCATAAGTAAAACGTGTTAAACTGATGTATAATTTGAAAAGTAGAAGCATAAATAAAAATATACTAGTACATAAGTAAAAAGTTATCACCTGTATTAATAGAAAATGAGCAAATTATGTCTAAGGTTTTCAGTCCCAGACCAGATCAGACCAGATTAGACTTAAAAAGACCAGACCAGACCAGACCAGACCAGACTTAAACAGACCAGACCAGACTTGGATAGTTATAAAATACACAGAGACCAGGCGTTTACCAAACCAGACCAGACCAATTCAGACCAGACTTAAACAGACCAGACCAGACCAGACCAGACCAGCAAATTTCAATCCAAAAGAAAACATCCGTACCCGTACTCAATACATTCCCATAGCAAATTTCAATACATTCTCATTTAATTTTTTTTTCTTTAGGAGTAGAATTAGCATGTTTACTGGAAGACACAAAACAACAAGAATGTTTAATGTGTCTTTCAACAAGAGAACTACAATATCCTGAATGATTATATCCAATCATAGCAGTAGCTATGCTAAAAAATGTTCATGTATCTAAAGTTATAAGGTAATTAAAGATGGTGTCCGTTACATTATGTGCTAGCCGAAACCAAACGAGACCATGTCGATTCCACTCATTAGTCTCAATGTGTAATTATCCGCCCACAATATAATGGCTAAATATAAATTGAATGGAAACTGGGAACAGTCTAATTATTACCTCAAGAATCAATTCTCTATTTATTTATTCACTCTTTTACACACCTCTATGAAGACATTATTTTGTACGTCACAAACAAAACAAATACTTGGTGTTGTGTTGCTAGTTTCGTTTCGGTGCTCTTATTTGCAGTTCCGGTTTATGAATTGTGGTTTATGATTTTTGAACCGGAATCCTGTCCGGTTTATGTGAGGATCCGACCTACAACTAAACAAGCTATATATGTACAATCACACTATTTAAGTCGTTGACCGACAACTTAGAAAACAGCCTGGGCCTTGCATAAAGAACAAATTTGGATTGGCACATCATATTTACTCATAATTAAACTTCACTTTTCAAATCATTGCTATCGTACGTGTGGAAAGACGATAATTACAGGTTTTAAGGATTTTCTAAATTATAGTGCAACTCTAATATAAAGAAAAGTATATGATGGAGACTTCCATAAATCAAGCATTCCAGTTCAGCTGGTGACGAGATTAACGTATCTCGAGTTCAAAACCCGCTAGACATATAAGAGTTCAAAACTCAATAAAGTGATTTTCAGTGTCGTTCCTACCTAAATTTAAACATGAGTCGAGCTTCATAAAAGGCCCCTATAAATAATTTTTGTATAGTACTTCATACAATGTATAATTTATTTAGAAGTAAGAGTTCAAATATTGCAAAAATAACTTATTAAAATAAATAACTAATTAAGTACAACGTAACTCTTTACACAATTTTAATTGTAATATAAATAATCAAACCAAAAGTAGAAAAATTGACAGTATATATTCATTTAAATTTTGAATTAATGATAGAAATAAATAAATAAATAAAGATGATGAAGTTTACATTTTTTTAATTTACTCTAAAAAATAAATAGCATATAACTTGACTAATTGAACTCAAATCACTTATTTAATGAAGTAGTGTGATAAAACATAAAAACCCAACTCTACTAGCCTGGTTAGTTCCCGTTTAATTATACGTTATATATGTTTTTTTTCAAAGCTAAATTATTTACTAGCACGTGTTATGAAACCGATTTATATAGCTATTTTATAACTATACATTTATCAACAAGAACACATTTGATTAAAACTTAATATATAGTTAAATTTATTCCACAGACTTTTGAAGATTCAAACAAAAATACAAACGAGATAAGGTCACGACTTAATCAGAACAAAAGATTAGAGCTAATTATATTAGCTAACAAAAATTTAAATATTAGTAGAATCCAATAAGGGATAATAGATCAAGCTTCTTCTAGTTTTCACTCCTTTCATCTACGTAGATCAATATTTCTTTTCGAAGCTATTCATTTTTGTTAAAAGAAGGGAGCTAATTTAGAATTCAATTACATACTAGTATGTAATTTAGAATCTGGGCCCCCCCCCCCTTTTTTTTTTTTGTAATTTTGAGGCCCTCGGGTCTTTGCCTCAGTAGCCTCCGCAAAGGTAAGCTAGAGACTCATTGTTAAGACCCGGGGTTCCATCCTAAAAGGTCAACCTGTTAGGAGGAGTAGCCCGGAGCTTAATATAGCACTCTAGTGCTTCTCAATTTTCCGGTGTGGGACATTTAACACCCCTCCTCACGATCAGACACTTCGTCTGGATCGTGTCGTCATTCATTTTTTCATCGTGTCGTCATTTTTCATAAGGGGCCCCACACCATGGATCGA